GGACGGGGTCGGGATCGGGATCGGGATCGGGATGGGTCCGTGGGTCGGGGGCTGCACGGGGAGGTCTGTGCGTCGACCGGGGGCTGCAGCGGGAGGTCCGGTTCGTTGACCAGGGGCTGCACCGGGGGGGCGCGTCCGTGGGAGCGGGGGCTGCAGCGGGGCTCTGTGCGGGGGTCAGGGGTCCCTCCGTGCACTGGGAGCTACACCGGCGGTGGGTGCGTGCACCGGGGGGTCGGTCCGTGCACCGGGGGCTGCACCGGGGCTCGGTCCATGCACCGGGGGCTGCACCGGGGGTCTGTCGCTTGAGCGGGGGCTGCAGCGGGGGGGCGGCAATTCGCGCTCCGGGGCGCGGGGGCGGCTCTGTCCGTGCGCCGGGACCTGCGGCGGGGGCAGGGGGAGGTCGGTGCGCTCAGAACCGGGGGAAACGGGGACACGCGGGGACCTCCGGGCTGCGGGGCGGGCGGCGGCCGCCACCTGCCGGGGACACGGCCCGGGCCCGCGGGGACGCGCTCTCGGGGACGCGCTCCCTGCTGCCCGCGCACCCGCCGCCTCCCAGGCGCATCCCGGGGTTTCGCACACCGGGTTGCCCCGTCCGGGCCCCCGGGTCCGGACCGGTGCGTGTCCCCCGGGGTCGCGGGGAGCGCCCACGCTGTGCCCTCAGTTTTCCTCCCGCGTGGCACGTGTCCCCACGCTGCCACCCGCCCGCGGCGCTGCTGGCGCCTTGTGCGTGTCCCCACCGCGCCCTGTCCCCCCTCCCCGACCCCGCTGAGCCCCCGAGTCCGAGCACGGCCGCAACTCATCACACGGGTGGCGGCGCTCCCGCCTCTCGGACCTCCGCCCCAGCAGGGGGCGCTCGCCGCTCCCCGCCGCAAAGCCCCCTGGGAAATGAAGTCGCGGATCTCCGTTGGGCGGGGACTACATTACCCAGAGGGCTCCGCGCGTGGTAGGCGGGGGTTCGGGCGTGTGGGCGGGGCTTCGGGACCACTTGCGGCCCCGGGCGGGGGTCGCCGGGGCTGAGCTGGACCGGGGCTACCAAACCAGGACCGGGCTGGTCTGAGGGCGACCGCACCGGGGCTGGGGGCCACTAAACCGGGACCGGCCCGGGGCCGGGGGGTCTGGACTTGCCCGGATCGAATGGACTGGAGGTGGCTCCCCCCGGACCCTCCGAGGGAGGGGTCCCACGGCAGAGACCCCCAGGGCCCCAGCGAGGAGGAGCAGGGGGAGGAGGATGCTTGGCTGTGATGCGGGGCTGTGATGCGGGTCCTGGCCTGGGACAGGACCTGGAGGGGCTGCGGGACAGCGGGGACCCGCCGGAATGCAGAGGGACCGGGGAACCCTCGGGGGGGACCGGAGGGGGGACTGTGAGACACGAAGGGACCCCACAGTGATGCTGCGGGACTGAGGGACCCCCGGGGGGCGCGCTGGGGAGGGCGTGGGACACAAAGGGGTGCGGTGGCACTGGGGGACTCCCCTGTGGATACTGGGGCAACAAGGCTTTAGTCCCCCCGCGTCCCCCTGTCTGTCCCCCCCCGTCTGTCCCCGGCTTTGCAATAAATCTGTTTGTGAGACCCACCTGCCCCCCGTCTGCGCCGTGTCCGGGGGGACGCGCCGGGATGATCCAGCCGGGACGAGCCCCGTGTTTGCTCAGGGAATTGGCGGCGGCCTCTGCCCGGCTGCGGGGCGGGGGGGTCGCCCTGGGGGTCCCTCCCTGGCCGCGGTGCTGACGTCCATCCCGCCGGCTCCTGCGTCCCAAGGGATGCATCTCCCGGGGATGTGTCCCCCCGTCCAGCCTGGTGACGGTGGCAGGGCTGGGGGGACACACGGCTCTGCGTCAGCGGGTGTTTGCCCACGCCGGGGGCTGGCGGGGGCTGGGGGATATAAAGCTGAGCCCGACACTTCCATGAGAATCCAGGGAGGCTCCAGCACCAGGAACATGGGACACCCTTGGCTCTGCCTGCTCTGCCTGCTGGGCTCTGGCCTCATCCTGCTGGGCACCCCCGAGCCAGTGCCGGGGGTCCTTCCCCCCCTGAGCCTGCCCGGGCAGAGCCGGGAGGAGACGGAGCTGGTAAAGGGGCTGGGGCAGTGGGGGGAGCGGGGAAGGGGGTCCTC